GAGGAACGCTGTTGCTTATCCCTCGTCTATAAAGTTCTCTTAGTCGCCTCTTACAACACCAACGGGAAAGAAAGGGATAGACCATTCGACGCCGGGACCACATGGACTAAATTACAATAATGAGTTATATTTCTGATTCATAACAATACGACTCGTTATTCCATTGCCAAGTTGAGACAATCATTCCTTATTTATAACCAATTTCATGTCTTAGATTTTTCCCTCGTTTCCATGAAAGATGACTCATTCCACCCCCTTTACGGGTCAATGTCATTCGACACAATAACGTATCATCAATTTGATCTAATGTAGCTCTTACACTCGTAGAGATAAAGTTGCTAGTTCTCTGATTCAAAAGTATCGATATTGTATTCATGGAAACTATGTACCTAAGTAACGAATACAAGATTTGGACGGAGAGACATTATGTCTGTAAGTTGGAGTAATAAATAATTTGATTACTATATTGTTCTTGCCTGTGCACCCATTAGCGAATATATCTCACATTAGTTATTTGCTGTTTACTATCATAAGTGTCATTATCGTCATATTTTTTTTTAATGCCCCGCCTGCACTGACGGTATACACTGGCGGGGTACCAGTGAGACATGACAGGTGAGAATGACAAGGCAGGTAAGTTAGCCAATTTTTTTTTATACAACTTAGAATGGCAAACAAGCTGACGGTCCACTTGATGGAAAGTGGTACCCGTTGCCTATAGACATGAGCAGTACCATGGACTATTGTGTACTGTTTTGCCCATGATACCCCACATGCGTTGCCATTCCTGAGGACTCAGGTGTTATTTCTCTGTACCCTGTAAATTCACGCCATATCCCACTCTTCAAACCGAAACACAGCCATGCAAATACAACTGCTTCACGGTAGAAACACGAATGGGACAGAGGTACCCAAGCAATCGACTTTTGTACAAAGTCTCCTTCTGGTGGAAATACCTAATTTCAGCATGATAGTTTCCAGGTGGAGGTCGACCTGTCAGGGTATATTGCTAGCAATGGGACTGGTAGTCCGCATTACTAACAAATGCTCCCCCCCCCATCGTTATCATTGTATCAGCGAGTCAACTGTCCACTACTGAATATAGCCCTCCTCTTATTGGGGACTTTGCCAGTAGTTGCCACGTTTGGCAGGCGGAGTGGTAACCGCAAGCTCGAAATTTTAAATTGACACAACAAATCAAAAAGTGACTTTACGATAGATAATAAGGTGCCCATCGTGACGTCTTCTTGAGTCTTTAGTCTCTTTAGATAAAATGAATTTAAAATAAAATAATATATACACAAAAAATTTTGTTCAATTAACAATCTTTTTCTTTTGACAGATTCATTATTTAAGATTTTTATTGCATAAATAAAAAAAAAGCCATTTCAATCTTGACAAAACCAGTTATTAAAAAACTAAACTACAAAACCGATTTTGATAGAAATTCCATAGAACTAATCTGAAAGTACATCCTTTGAGATAAAAAAAAATAATTTTCCAAATCAGTTTATAAGTGATGAAATTTTGAGGTAAAAATGATTCAAAAATACCTCCTTTTTTTGGAGAAAATATACAATTATTTCTTTATTAAATCACTACATTGAAATAGGTTTATAAATGATTTTGCGTTACAAATAGTATGGTTAATATGTCGTCATAGTCGTAGAATACTGACGGAGCTTTATACGTAATCTTCGTCAGATCCGTCAGTATTCTACGACTATGACGATATATAGATACAATAGTCAACTCTGACCCCAAACGTAGACCAGTATCAATAGGGGTTGTAAAAAAGCACCATAATTGCTGCAAAGCCGATCCATCGCAGTTCGCACCCTCATGGCCAGCAAGGGTGGCGGGCAATTACGCGGGGTTTCGCTAATTCTTCACGTGCTTAGTTTAATTTGTCTGGCTTATTTAACTGTATGTAACAAGCTGCTTCCTATTGTAATGACAGCTGTAAAAATCTAACCATTTTCAGTTATCATCTAAATATATTTTATATATTTCAAAATAATTTATTATATTAAATTGTCTAATATATATAATAATAATTATATATATATATATATATATATATATATATATATATATATATATATATATATATATATATATATATATATATATATATAATGTCGAGAGATGATCAGCAGCGTCCCTCTCAAAACATCTCTAAAAGCCTCAGTGCGGTTGCCAATCCGCCTGCCACGCATGGCAAATACTGGCAAAACTCCCCTTATAGGGAAGGCCCATATCCAGCAGCGGTCAGTTAATAGCTGAAGTAATAATAATAAACAATTATCTACTGAGCTGTTAAGCAATCTATTCATAATTACTATTTGTTTTAAATCTATACTAATATTAAAAAGAGGTAATGTTTGTAAGTTTGGTTGTTCGGCGTAATCTACCATATTATTAATCCGATTTTGAAAATTCTTTCACTATTAGAAAGCTATATTATCCCTGAGTATTATAGACTACTTTTCATTTTGATAAATATATATTTATATTAATCATAATTAATGTTATTGAAGTAGGCAAAAAATCTATATGGCTTGTGCTGCTTGAACGGTTTGAAATATAGGAATAAAATCTATTCTAAAGATAATCATTACTTTTAACTCTACAAAAAAAAAAACTTCAACAACATATATCTTATTTTAATATTTCAGTTAAAATGATGGTCTTTATATGTTAAAAGTAAAATAAATTTTACAAGCTGTTCTTTTTAATAATTAGAGCATTATTAAAGAATATTGGAATAGTACTTTCATGTAGTAGTACACACGAAACGTAAAACACTAAAGTACCAGCATTACTAAAATGTGTTGAACAGTTTAAAAATTACACACACAAATATTGCACCCGTGCGAAGCCGGAGCAGGTTGCCAGTAAAAAATATAACGTTAAAAAGATATTTATAGTAACGACGATAAAGGTCGTAAGCTAGTATTTTAACAACAAGCAAATATAATATTTCAATAAATCTTAATAAAAATATAAGCAAGTAATTGACCCGATCATAAGACAAAGTTTTATTGTGCAATAAAGAATAAATATATAAAATAATTCAAACGATTCTCTCGGAAGACTCTTTCTTATAAACCTCATTCCCTACCACCTAATACGCAGTCTGCAAAACTTATCTCGTATTGCCAATTATCAAAATAAGCAAATCCGACATAAATCGGGGTGGTGACCGTCCAAGATGGTATCTCCATCCCCGGCGAGGCACGAGGCTAGGGGCGTGGGGCGAGCACACATTGGTCCGTAATTGCTCCACGATGCCAGTAAGATAACGCCGTCTGGCCCCTGATTGAATGCACATGCATATTTTGCGTGGTACTCGACTAATGGGAAGGAAACAACGAAAAATGTTTATACATCACTGAGCTACTCGTATATCTAGATACAATTTGTTTCAATAACTCAATGATAATTTCATCACTCATTTCAGTTATCAACCTGACCACTGTTGAATAAAGCTTAAAAATAAAGAAAGTCTATTGTACGAGCATGTCGAGACCACACGGACTGCTAGATATTACTACTAGATATTGAATGAATAAATAGTTTATTTTCTCTTCACAAAAGGTAGTAAAAAGTAAGACCTTGTGATACAATTAAATATGTAAGACCAATTTTGTGAGAGACTGGTGCCTGCAGTAGGTTTTGTAGAACTTGTGTTGTGTGAACAAGACACCAGTGCCCTATCTCCATGGACTACACAAATATAATAAAATAAAAATATTAACTTTATAATAATTACTGATCACAATTTAAATTTCTGATGAAAATTCAAACAATAATAATTTAAACAAACAAAATTAATAATTGTCCGACTATAAGACAGTCTGCCGATGTAAAATAGTGCAAATCAAAAGTTGATTAATTTATTAAATGTTCTGATTTGTTATAAATTTAAATTAAAGTTTGTTTCTGTAATAATTTCATGGTAATGGTGAGAAATATATAGGAATATATCTATATTGTAGTTATAATATCTATACATATATTAGCTCAATAACAGATATATTAACTATTCGTTATCCAATATATAATATCGAAAAGAAGAACCCGCTCGTTATGAATATAGATATTCGATTGGTATGGCCGATATTGCAATGAGTGGTCATCAGTGTTTAGAAGAACTCAATATATAGATATCAGATATTACCCATCTCTGATGTATACATGAGTAAATGTGAGTATTCTGGCTGATGGCAAGAGTTTCTTAGCCAGCTTAATGGTATGCTAGATGACGGTTTTATACGCCGTCCAAAGCGCGAAGCATGTAAGAATATTTTTTGTTATTGAAATAATAATTTGAATATTCAGAATTTTACCTGGAGTTCGAACTTGGGATCACGGGGCCGCAGTCAAGAGTTTTCAACCAAAACTTTCCAAAAAGATTCTCAATTCGGTTGTATTATTTATTACCTCATAACTCCGCTAGATATTTGAAAAATCCTTTTTTATCAAATTTTTTTAAATGAAAAAGAAATTTTAAATAGAAAGGAAGTATATCCCTTTATACTTACAGTTTGGTCCCATATATTTTTATTAAAATCGTTATGCCATAATTGTAGTTTTTTGTAGAAGTACAATCTTAATTAATCGACTGAGCTACGATTCATAAAACAAGTACTAACAGACATATATAATATTTGTTTTCCTCCATTTTTGAGACCATAGAATACATTAATTCAATAAATTATGATTAATTCTTCTATCTATTATTTATCATAGTAGAATCTTCGTTTCATTTAATTCGTTCAAAGAAGAAGCATGTATTAATTTAATGTAAGCGATGAGTCCGCCCATTGTTGCCTCTCTACCTCGTTTCTTGTAATGAAGATTTTTTTATGTACATATTGTTAATTTATCTGTAACATTTTTTAAGTGAAACAGTAAAATGGTTTTTTTTTATTCATGTACTTAATTCGATGGTATATTTTTTATCTACATAATTTCGATAATTTCTTACAATCGTCAAGTTTCCTACTCCAGTGTTGATCCCATATTTATTTCGCCTCGTTTGAAGTCGCTGTTTTTCAGTGAAACAACATCTTAAATAAAAAATAAGTAAAAAAACGCATGAATACTTCTCTTCGCGTCTAAGAAAAAAAAATATTAGTATGAAGTGTATTGTAAATTGGACTCCCATTTCCACACTAAGCCCCTCAATTGGGCCGCTGTATGTGTGAGTATGAAGAGTATTGAAAAAGATAAAATTATAAGGGTTAATTTTACGAATGTAATATTAAAAATCTATATATCCACTACGGAATACTAATAGTATTTCGACTTCATTTTTATAAGTATAATATACTAATATTATACTTTTTATTTTAATTAAAAGACTCTTAGATTATATTGAATAGTATGTACCTAGCCTTCGATAGTGGAAAGGGATTGTAATGGGATTTAACAGCCCCATTGCTAGCAATATACCCTATCAAGTGGACCTCCACGCGGTTATAGATACGCGATAACATATGTAGTAATTTTTTTGTGGAATTCGTGACGATGGGCTAACTAGCCTGCTTTCATCGTCAGAGATGATAGATCTCTCACAGACTTAGCTCAGCCAGCACATACCGATAGCGCAGGCGGGGTCGCCATTCCATTCTCACCCATTAAAAATAACTAATAATTAATAATAAATTTTGAAAATAAAAAATTATCCAGTATATTTTTTTTATATAGAAACAGATAAATTTCTGATATAATTACGCTGATGCCACAATTAAATCAAATTCACCAGGTCTCTAAGTTCTGAATACCATCATAGCCTTTGATGGCCTGCATAGGGCCTTTATAATTAACAGTAATTACTGACTCCGGCAGACACTTTCAATCAAGGCCGCAAACAATTTTGCTTACCGTTAATGACGTCACGATGACATAGTGTTCAGATAGGGTTGGCACTCTGTAATTACCCGGAATCTGGGTAATTCGTGGTGCTGAGTATAGCGAGGCTTTTTGCTCGTTAGCTATGAGGTGGGGTTGGAGTTGCAGTGGGAAACAAGCGGGCAACAACAATCTATAAAATATTTAGAATTTGTAATATTATCAGTGAAATTATAACTTATCTAAAGTAAGTTTATTACAAAGAAAAATTGTTTTTGTTTATAAGGAATAAACTCAAAACATAATTAACTGATTTTAAAATATCTTTCATGTGTATAAAAGTTACATCACCAATTAACATGGGTTTGATTTTGTATTCTAATTTAGTAATTTATTTTATATTTACTCGTACAAAGCCAGGGCTGGTGACTAGTTTTTAATATACACAATCATAAAATAAGAAATATAAACTCCATATCGTATTAGGTATCTACTTACTAATATTGATTTAGGGGGAACGGGGAAAGGGATTGTTAGAAATGGGGATTAGCAACTCTATTACTAGGAATACCTAGTAAAGACTCTTAAGAAACCTTATCAGGTCGATCTCCACGCGGTTCCCCCTAGAAACCACCATGGTTAATTCTTGTTGAATTCTTCACGTTGGGCCGACAGACCTGCCTTCATCTTCATCTATCATCTATCACTGGTGCATCGCCAGCGTATACCGATAGCGCAGGTGGGGTTGACATTCCATTTTCACCCATAAAAAAAACATTGATTTTGGGTATACGAGTACAATAGATGTTTGCGAACTATTTCATCATAATAAGATTTTTTACGTCGCAACGTTGAAGCAATAAAACAAGAAAAAGTTATATCCTATCCCAAACAAAACTATAATGTTATTTTAACAGGTTTCATATTATAGAGTGACACTCACAAATAAATGTGAGTGTCACACTCCACCGAGTTAAGAAATCCGATGTCATAAAAAGTATTTAAGTTCGATAAAGTTTATTTAATTCCATTTAAAGTGACACACATACACATAAATGTGTGTGTATGTAAAAACACAGCACATTTTTATACTTAAGAACCACGGTTTAGAGTTAGTTGTCACAAAAAATTGAAACATTAAATATAACATGTAGAAGCACTATGAAAAGAGAATAAAAACCCATACCATAGCAATAATTTTGATATTATAGTTTCCGATTTTAAACTATAATAATAATTTATCATTATATATTTGCTTATTACTAATAAAATATGAATTTAAGAACCCGCTCACAATGAGGTGTGAGCGTCACACTCCATTGAGCTCAGAAATGCGGCGTCATATCGCTCAGATTGCCGGTGTAACGGCTCGGGTGGCGCGTGAATGGGATTCACTACAGTAAACTAACTGAAAGCCGACTATAACAACGCTGACTGCTCAGAAAATTGGCTGTTTATGTTACATGGAATATGTTGAGAACTCGTTGCAGGTATTACTGTCAAAAATTTGAGCAATGCTGCGTTTAGTGTCCCTTTCTACAACGATGTATTACTCACTCGTCTGTGTATATGAGGTCTAATAATTCTTACTTTAAATTTGTGTTGGTCACAGTCTAATTAACTCCAGCTATATTTTAAAATAAATTAGATTCTTTCATTTATGCCAAAAATATTTTTGGAAAATTGACAATGACGCGGACGAAAGAGGTTACAAGAGAGGCTAAGCTAGCTTCTTTAAAATTAACTCAGCAATTTATAGCTAGATGCTAAACAGTATAAATATAATAAAAAAAAATTTACTTGTCCTAATCAAGCTATAATAATTAAATGTTTATTATTTCGTAACTTTTATTTTATTGAAACATGCTTCTATAGGGTTGCCCGTGTGCAAAAACTTCATGTTACTGATCGAGCTATGGAGTGGGCTATACTCGGAATTTGCGTGATGAATCCAAAATGAGGATATCTGCAGAAATACCAAAGTGACTGACATAGCCTGAAGGATAAGCAAACTGAACTGGCAATGGGCTAGTCACATAGCTCGAAGAATCGACAACCGATGGGGAAGAAAGATTCATGAGTGGCGACCAAACAAACGCAGTGTAGGACTACTCCCCACTAGATGGAGTGACGATCTTAAATACATTGCAAGTAATCAATAGATGCAGGAGGTTCAAGACCGTTCCTTACAGTTGTCTATCAAGGAGGCCTATGTTCAGCAATGGACAAAAAATGACTGATATGATGACGATGATGATGAACTCTTATTAATCCCCTATAAAAATACAGTTAAAAAGGTCGATTTCTTTTTTCACGTAGGTGTCGTAAAAGGCGAATAAGGGAAGTTAATGATTGACGGATGGGTGGCAGAATTCCTCTTAAAACATCACCAAAGACTACGTGCGATTGCCAGTCCGCCTGTCAAACGCGGCAACTACTGGTAATTCCCCCTTTTGGAGGAGGCCTTTGCTCAGTATCAGTATCATCATATCGGCTGATATGATGATGATACAGTTACATTATTAAAATGCGTCCATAAAAGGAACTTCATAATTTCTATTTCACCCTGCATACATAACGACTTTCGGCTGCAAAATAGTCAGTTGCTATTTATAAAATACATTATTATCATCAAAACCATAACAGAAACGTCAACAGTAACCATTTTTCGTTTCCAGTCCAAAGCACATCAACTCCATGCTACATAATTCAATTATGCGACTGGTTCCTTGCCGCGATAACTGAGTAATCAAGAGATCTGCTCCCGAGGTTTCCAAACAATGAGACGATTAGACAATAACGTCGGCCACTGAATAGCTTAATCTCAAGCAAACGCTGTTAACATTTCTCTCCTGCTTTGTTGCCGGGCGGACAGACGAGCGATTTGCAATATAACAGACCTTAAATAGGAGCAGGCGGTCAATTGAACTGTGTGTCTTTTGATGGACTGTGACAAAGGTACTTGACAGTAAGCAGTGTAATAACAACGTTGTAAAGGATAAAGTAGATTTTTGTTGAACAATATTTTCAAATTATGATATTAAATATTAGTTACTTTATGTCTAACATTAATGTTTTTTTTTTTTTTAAGTCGTGTTTTATCATATGTTTTATAACACTGAGAACAATTAATAAGCGTGATGCCATATATATTTTGTTAAAAAGTATTTTTATAATTTTGTATAGAGTTTCTGTACGTTAATGTAGAAAATATTATAATGATTTTTAATCCAAATAATTAAAATTTTTATCAATACAATTTTAATTAACAAAACGAGTACTCGAAATAAATTCGTTTATTACCAGTATAAAATTATCTAACCTACGAATATAATAGTAATAAGCTAATATGAATTAAGTGGGCTTAATGAGAAAGGACTTGCGCCCAGTTGTGGGACTCTGTTCAATATCGAAAATGAAAACAAATTAAATGTTTCCCAATTGACTTTTTTTCCGACCAAAGAAGGACCTCCATCTTTATGAGAATTTTCTCAATTAAGAATTGAGAACCCTCTCAATTCGGTTGTATATATTTTTTTATATTTGTTACCTCATAACCCCGATAGTTATAAACTGATTTGAAAAGTTCTTTTTATCTGTAAGAATATACTTACAGATTGGTCCATAAAAAGAAATATTAAAGCCAATTCAGTAGTTTAGTTTTTAAATCAAAATAACCGGTAATAACCGGCTTTGCTACAATTGAAATCGGTTATTTTTGTCGATAAAATCTTACATTTTTTTTTTATAAAAACAAAATCGTCCGTGTGCACGGGAGCTCATTGTTACGGGAACACTGTCTCCGCGGCCTCGTCCCACAAATCTTTGTAACCGTCATTTGCACTTTTCTTACCGCGGAAAAACATGAACGGAATGAAAAATGAAATTTCACCAACAGCCTTCCTTCCGGACAATGCTCATTGTGAACGCTTCAGCTATTCACGATTTGTAATAAATTAATTCTTAATCAGCGTTTTATGTGTTTTTTTTTTTCTTTAAAAATACCTTTGATCTACCTACTTCTTTTGTCTGTTTATTGAACAGAAGAAACGGTACTACTGTATGTCTTAGCAATACATAGCCAAAATCATTGATTTTTTTCACTATGCAAGATTATTTAAGATACATTTTTTTTTGTTGTATTTATTTTATTTATGAAATTACCGATAGAATTAATCATTCTTTTATTCAGTACTCAGTCAGAACTCCTTGTTTTTTAAGAAAATATACAGCCATAGGCTATAGCCTATATATATAAATTAAGAGATTTGCATATGGTTTATTGTAAATATAAATTTATATATTTAGAAATTTAGAAGACAAATAACATATTTCTAGATCGATTAAACTAAAACTAGCTTTTACTTACGATTTTGTTCGCGTGACCAGGATATGTTCACTAACTGGGGTAAATAGTAGTCTATAATCTTTTCCGTCTCAAATAGTACTTCTAAACCAAGTTTCATGACAATTGGTTGAGCCGTTAAGGCGATAAGAGGTAACAAACAAATGAAAGTAGTAAGGTTTATCAAAAAGATATTGTCTGAAATCTGAGCACTAGACTGAGGAAATAGCTTTGAAAGGGAACATCATTAGCCATTGACAGTTGGGGGATGAAAAAGCGGAGTCATGTCCGATGAAACAAGGGTGGAAACGGCACCCTTGCTGTCTGTTTATCTGTCACAAAACTTTCAGTTCTACAACAAAATGAAGGGAGGGAATCTCAACTTGCCTCATTTTCTTTCATCCATCACTTTACTGGCGTAAGTTTTGCTTTCTATTACAATATAAATTGCTATATGGAAATTGAGATTGCTATCAAAGTTATAGAAAATGAAACAATAATTCACTTATTACTCGTTAAATTAGTAATAAGTAGTTTTCTATGACAAAAAAAAACATGCTTGTAAATATGCTTGTAGCCAGTAATATCATGTAGTAATCACTCTCTCCTACTTATTGTGCCCAACAGGGTCCATAATTGAAGTTGAAGTGTTATCTACCAACCACATTATGGAACGCAATAAGGAATAAATAAATAAATAATTTAATTATTTATTTATTTATTTATTGCACAATAAAATTTTGTACAAATGGCGAGCCTAATGCCATATGGCATAACCATTGAATGAAAGATGAAAAATGTGACAATTATAATAAGACATTATGTCAATACACAATATAAATATAATATACACATAAAAAATGCACATATAATAAATACATAAACATTACTTTTAATAATTCATTAAAATAAGAGCACTATTAAAATATTTTTATATATTTTTAGTATTTTTAATATTATTTAGTATTATTACATACAAATCAAAACATTATTTATTTTTAAACTTAAATATGTCGTATTTACTTTTTTAATATGTTTAAAAAGTATAGTTACAACGGTAGTAAATTAATTTGTTAATTAGAACTCAGTGAATGTGTCACTGTGTGATCCCAGTATAGAATAGACCAACTAGTCCTTCTTTTTTCATAAGTATCGTAAGAGACGACTGAAAGAAATTTAAGGTCGAAGGATGGGCAGCAGCGTCCCTCTTAAAACATCACTAAAGAATATCAGCGATTGCCAATTCATCTTCCAAAAATAACAACTACTGGCAATATATCCTTTCAGATAAAAAAGTAATTTTCCAAATAGGTTTATAACTGAAGGAATTATGAGGTAACAAACACAAAAGAAAAACTACTGATTTTAGAACCTCTTTTTTTGAAGTCGGTTGAAAATACATGTAAGTGAGTTCAGTTATTTTACCATTAAAATATAAAGCACTTGAAGGAGTACATGAAAGTAAGACAGTTTGATAAGTACACAGAAAAATGCGAGCATCGTCTACAGATACAAAGAAGTGCCAACTCCATACTGGTCCTTTTATCACGTTATCAGATGGACGTGAGACCGGCGCGTGGATAAGGGACGATAGCTTTCGGTTCATTTGCTCGAAAAAGTGGACAGACGTGACGAGGAGACACTTTGAAAGATCCTTTAGAGGTTTATTCAGTTAATTTATTAGTTCTTCCATACAGTTTTAGTGTTGTAACCAGTTTTTAATATTAGCAATTTTTTTTAGTACAATAGATTTTATTTTACAAACAACTTCGTTTGTCACGTTCAAGGAATTAGTATGAAAGGAATATGAATAAATTGGAAGTCGTTTACAACCGATCATTTTAGATTGCTATGTGGTTCCGGTATAGAATGGGCCACCCTAATCTTATCTCGTGTGTATCGTGGGCGACTAAGAGAACTTAACGGTCGAAAGACGACCAGCAGCGTCTCTTTTAAAACATCACCAAATTCGCTTGCCAAACGTGGCAACTACTGCCAAAATTCTTCCAATAGGGCGAGGCCCATATTCAGCAGTAGACAGTTGTGTTGATATGATGTTGATGATGATTTATGGAATTAATATCTTTCATAGAAACGTTATTTTTTTTATAAATCGGTTAAACGTAGTTAAACATAGCTCTACTAGAATAAAATTGATGGAGAAGAAAACATAAAGTTATCCATGTAATAATAAAAGCTGCTTTTTGTCTCGATTCATTAATATACCCTGGTATTTTTTAATGGATGATAATGGAATGGCAACTCCACCTGCATTAACGGTAC